ATACAAATAAAATTTCAACAGGAAATGACTAATTAGCTCAATAAATACCTGTACTATCAAATTACCGAAATAGAAGATTTGTAAATAGAATATTTTGAGTATAAATCAATTTAATTTAAATAGTAGTCGATTATCATGTTTCCACCTATATATAACTTCTGACACTAACATTTGATATAATCCTACAATAGATAACAGTTATAACTCAGATCGACTACTGAATTAATACTGCCGTGCATCTACTGATTGCTTCTGAAAATGATGTTACCTAATTAGCTCGAAATTAACATGCTTGAACCCATTTCTACAATATTACGATATTGTTACCAATTACTAAAGATTCTTTAAGCTAGACATTATTTCAATTATTGAGAAAATGATGATTCATGTCTATCGATGTAATTGATATTCTTGGAAGTAAACTAGTTACGACTTTAGACGTTTATTTATTCAAGGAATATTTATAATGGACTAAAGCTATTGCATTAGTATTAGATGATAATTGATTATAATTACTCTATTTCTATGGTGTGCTACAATGCGATATGTGTAGAGATCTATATACTGATACACAGAAGAAGGTGAAAGTATACCCTATAAAAATTGTTCTATAGGACATTTATATAATTTTTTCCGCCTGCAGAATGTTTAAAGAGAACTCGACTTAAATTGAGCTTGGTTTGTAGAATACGTTTATGATGCTCTTGATTTTAAAGCTTGTACAGTGCAATTGCTAATCCATCAGTGTTCAATTTCATCTCAAATTGGCTGGTATTGGCCTATATCATTTTGATCAGTTGCTGCTGTGATAGTTATTGATCTTAAAAAACTTGCGTTAGACCAAATGAACAGCTTTGTATCGAGCTAGAAGAATTAGATGCAATCATGCTTGTTGGCATTGTTTGATGTTGTTAAAACCATGGTATTATCCTTGAATATGACAATAATTTCAATAGATGATAAAATCCTTCGGTAAACTACTGCTAAAGTAATCCATGACGATAGTCAGTTTTTAATTACGTCGGGTAGAATAAACTTAATCTTTGATATTATACACGTATCGCCAGACTGCCATTAATAAATAATTTTAACTCTTACGTAACGCCAACTAGGACTATAAAATTTAGTTGCTTTTAGAATGCTCGCTTATTCCTATTCATAACTGAACACATGGCTTGTGATATTAAGAATGAAGCAACTGCAGGTAAAACAATTTATTGAAATTCATTTTTGAGCCATTTGAGAGTGTGGTAATTATTTTAATTGGCGTGATGGATTGAAGAATGAATCTAAAGTATCCTTAAAAATCGAGCTATTTGCTATGGATAGTTTCTAGTTTGAAATAATTGACGACGTGATCTGTTATGCAATATTTCTGTTATGTAATGACTACAGTTTAGTCATCTTATAATATGAGTTATTGCATTGGCTATAATGGTATTTGATGATGATTATTACGATCATGATAAAGTCCCTTTATTATTAAGACAATATATTAGCGATTAAGTCGTGAGTATTCTTAATGAATGCGAAATATTTTTACATTTATTTGTACATTAACGTTAAAATAAGATTCGAATGACATCGTGACTTATGAACTTGAATTATGATTGTTATCCTGTACTTGTAAGTTTAATTAATAAAGAAATTATCATTGTAGTGATGCACCCATATTTGATTATACGGATAGCTATATTTGATATAGTTAGGTTGTTTTGAATAGGTATTATTAGAAATTCTGGATGACTAATAGTAGCCAGTTGACTAATTATGGTACAAGATTTATGTAGCTAGAAACACTGTAGTTGTTGAGATGTCCTTCGGAGAAAGGGCCTAGACCTTAATAGAATAGTAGTAACATCTTAAATAGAATGATTTAGACTGTAGAAAATAATGATGTACTATTAGAGAAAAGTATTTGTTTGATGACTCATGTCTGATTGTAGATAAATCAAGTTGTCATAAATGGATTTAACGAGATGTTTATAAGAACTGCAGAGATGAGCTCACAGAGAATAAGAGACTTTACTTCGCTTTGAGCTCGGAATACTTTAGATTTTAGACTAGATTCGTGTAGTAATTAATTATTGCTCTACTATTCCTAAAATTTTGTAATAAAAGCCTTTTAGAAAATACCATTTGACTAAGATAGTTATTGTGAGACGCATTTATTACAGTCATGTAAAAGATTTTCTCAATTTTAATAATTAAAATTTTGAGTTAGTGAATTTTGAACTTCAAAGGTTTATAGCTCATTTTTCAACCGGTTTGATAATCCATTCACTACTTATATTGTAAAATGTCTAAAATAGATCATGGTGGACCGATTTTGTTCTTCGAATTAGGTTTGGACTTTGCTCTTCATATCATACGAGCGATTGGATTATTTTGAAAACCCTAATATAGTCTAAAGTCTAAACTACGTCGATGTACTTTGAAATAGAAGCTTCATGTTAATGTCCTATTCCCACTATCTATTTGTGCAGACTTTTTGCACTGAAATTAACTGTCCACTTTGTTTACAATAATACCTTGTGAGAAGATCAGTCCATTGGGATAGTTCAATATCATCGTTTACCTAGTAAGAGAATGTCCAAATGAGTTTTTTTTACATATTCTTTACCGGATGCCTTGATTGACGGTATACCGTACTGTATATGCGGTAGAATCATTTAAGGATGAATATTGATCCTAGTTTACTGCTAGTTTCACTATCTTTCTTCCTACGTCCTGATACGGATTAGGTGAAGATGTAGACGTGATTGGATCATCGCTGAAGAGGATCTAAATACGTCGAATTGCGTCATTTCCTTGCCGGAAACCTGACAATGTCATCATGCGTACAGTAGGTTATCCTATACGGATCGGTGTGGATCCCATAGTGGTAAAAAAAAAAAATAGAATAGTGGTTTTTTATATCTCTGTGGTGGATCCTAATCAATTTATAGATGAATTTACGGTCTTTCCTGGATCTTGATACGCGTAGAGCTAAAATTTGGCATGAATTACTAGATACGCGTAGATATACTGCATCATGGGTTGAAAGAAGATTGTCTCCTATTCGATCTCCCAATTGTAGTGAATAAAGTTATTAATAAAAATCGACATCGATGTAATGAAGGTTAATATGTAGTCTTGCAGTCATGGTATAACTCATTGGGCCTACACATATATCATAGATACGCCTATATTGATATTGATATACAGGCATATTAAAATTGATAATACATAGTGCTACCGTCCTAATTTAGGATGCAGCACTGTGGCCTAACACGGAATTATGCAGATTAATACGTATGTATTGAAAGATAGTATCTACAAGAGGTGTAGTCTTTATACATCAATGAGTTGGATAGTACTTGGATGCTTAACTAGTTCAAGTTGTGCTCAATCATAACACAAATGATGAGCATCGACTAACGAAAAATCAATGTTTTAAGGTGGTTGCATCGATTGCGCTTTCTGGTCCTGGAATTCAGTATATCTTCTAGTCAGTTTTACAACTCTATTCCAAAGGAAGACGATCATCGTCATTTTTGATCGTTAATATTATTATTATTCTTGCCTTTCTGATTTTCCCTACTCATTTCCCTATCAAGTTAATGAGCCTAGTTACCGTTGAAATTAGAACAGGCATGCTGGAAAATGGCCAAGAATTTGCGTGCAAGGATGATGCAATCATACCTTAACTTGCCATCTCCCGTCCCGTCCGTCCCGCCGGCCGGCCGGCCTACGTGGCAAAATTGCCCTTTGCTTTGTTGACCTGTCTCCAATCGGAGGGGCTCCGATCGCGAGCTAGAATGACGATGTGTAAAAATATAGTAGTGAAAAGCAAGGTATTTTTACCACTGATTGAGTAGTAAACCTACAGAACTGATCACGTGAGTGATGACGTTTCGTACACCACCCACTTCTTACCCCAAATGGCAGGATCCTGCTATTTTCTAACCTTGTCATCCATCAAGACGAGAAAATGGACAGTCTGTTATGTATTTATGTCCTCTACTAGTTGCACTTGTTATTATCCAGTCAAGTACAGTAGAATCCTGGAGACTGATATTTCTTCTTTCTGCAAGTGCAATAGCTGATCGTGATGAGGTGAAGGATTGTGGTCATGATGCAGCTTAAAAAGATGATGCTGCATTCTATCTTGATGCAATACTAGCTATCTATTTCTTGAAATTACAGGATAGACCGTTATGAAAACTCTGATGACGAACAGTACAATTTACTCGCCTAATATAGAGTAGTCTACAGTATAAACTTTAGTTTTCTTTGTTCTTTCCTTCCTTGTTACAGTATATCTGATTTTTCTGTCTTGTAATGATATTTAATTGAAGTAAGAACGATCGAGGTAAGACATGGAGGTATTCTCCTTACTTCTATGGTAAAGACAACCAATATATAATGATATCCACGATAACCCACCCCATGCGATGATGTTGCTACTACGACAGTACTGTCAAAGTGTCAATTCCTCCTTACAACTCTACTGCAGACATTGATATAGATTGTCCTTGGCAGAAGAACTGATTGATGTCACTGAGTGATCTTGAGCAAGAAATTAGCAAGTCTTGTTGTATTCATTCATTTTGAGATTCAAAGCGATGAATAAGAACTACTCAAGGTCCCTGTTCAAAGCATGCATAGTGTCCAAGATGTTGCAAAATCTTCCACTGCAAGCTTGCATAGGTCATTTGCATCAAAGAGACAGGGACTACTCAACACGAATTCGAATTTTGGGTTTCGCTATCTGGTCTGTGCCATGCGTTCTAAATCGTGCTGGAGAAATCCACGCCAGTACAGTACAGTACTACACACTGAACTAGAGCGCGACCACCACGGAATCCAGGACGGACGCCCGTCACCTTTTCCTATACAGTATTTATACCCCAGACAAGAGGTCGTGACGACATCCGTTGACGTGACGCCTAACTGGCAGTAGAGCTTGACTGGATCTTTTTTCCTCTCCACTTTTCTCTTCAGCCATTTTTGGCCTTCTTTGCATCTCTTTTTCAAGCGTAGCCGCAAGGTAAAATTCAATCTAACATCATGGCTGATCATCCAGCACAATCCTTCGATACCGATTGCATGACTTTAACTCGATTTGTGCTCAATGAGCAGCAAAAATTTCCTCAAGCCAGTGGTGATTTAACGCAGTTACTCAATTCTTTACTGACAGCCATTAAAGCAGTTTCTTCGGCAGTCCGTAAAGCTGGCATAGCTAAACTGTAAGTTTCTCTGCTATCCAACATGGATTTCAATGTTATTTTTTACTAGCTTAATGCTTGACTAATGAGAGAGTGTATAGACAAGTCCATCATCCAATCCTGCTATGGGGGGGGGGACATTTAGTTTCAGTCATTTCTCTTCGATAGATCATTCAATGGCTTAGAACTCCTCTTGCTTGCCTTCGTAGTCGTAGTAGTTCGGAGTACGCCCTCTACAGCACAGAAAAGGCAAAGGATACTGTAGATACACTGTCGATATTGCTCAACATAACAGCTTTCATTCATAGATAGTTCTATCAAGAACGATCCAAAAACCCACTAGGCTTTGACCAGGGATGTCCCTGCTTTGACTATGGCTACATCGCTCGCAGTTTTTTCAGGACGATACGACCGTATCCTGACACTTTGATCCCTTGCGATCCAAAACATTTCCGGCTATCACTTCTTGACGTACTATATTGACAGTCAGGACATGATCGCCGCAGGCTGCCATGGTGATAAATAAAGGCAAATGAATAAAACGTAGGAAAAAAAAAGGTGGAGAATGACAGTATTGGCGTAGGTAGAATAGCAGGATTGACCTCTGTTTGATGTTCTCTTTCCACTGTTTGTATTAACTAGCGTATGCAATCAGCCAAGGTGCAATCAATTATGCTAATTCATGATTACCCAATCAACACCACAACTTTTTTCGTCAATCGCGCATTTGTAAGTCTACAACATGGTCTATTCCGATACTTATAAATACAAGTCGGTTTGAAGGGAATCAAAAGATCAGTGGATGGCTATGCTGCTACGTTGCAGCTGGAATCGGGATCGCGTCTTGCTGTTGAGTTGGTACCAGGACGAGGTTCTGGAGTGCAAGGTAATAGTAGTCCCTTGACGTATACTGCATTCAATGAAACTAAAGCCAGACTGCCATTTCTACCTTTGATAACCATCGGATAGACTAAGAAATGGAATCTTTAACAAGGATAGAACTGTATTGGCAAAAATGATTGTATAAACTAAATCACAGGCTCTTTTTTTGAATTAAAGGCAGTTCGAACCAGCACATTCATCATGCTGCTCTGCATGAATACACGAATAAACAATTTACCAGCTGACACGACTCTCTTCATTTGCTAAGTGCCCGTAACCTTGCAGGCATGACTGTGCTTAGCCCTTCCTCTTGCAACAAGCACAGAGAATAAGATGGAATCATATTGTCTACTAATAATATAATTTACATGTTTACTTACTGTTAGCCCTGGACAAAAAGGTCATACGTACAGTACAGTACAGTACAGTATCGCAGATAGAATGTTTACATAGCGTAACAACTCCAATTTTATATCCATTCTGAGTCAGTGATTTGGTGATGATGATAGCCTTTAAATATTACCCTTTACCCTGTATGATCTGTTTCCTTCGTACATATCGTCTATACAAAGTTATTTTAAAATTGAGATACATAAACCAAGTTTGGATCAACATTTTTCCTCTCTAATACACCTACATACAATTCATAAACCCATTGATTCTAAGATTCTCATGTCTTAAATAATTCACTAATTAATAAACTTTCTATCATTTTTATCGCCTAACAGCTTCGGTATTGCCGGTGAAATCAATGTGCAAGGTGAAGAAGTCAAAAAATTGGATGTCTTAGCTAATGAATTATTCATTAATATGTTAAAGTCATCCTACACTGTTGCTGCCATGGTATCGGAAGAGAATGAGAAAATGATTGAAGTAGAAACGGAGAAACAAGGAAAATATATCGTCTATTTTGATCCTTTGGATGGCTCCTCTAATATAGATTGCTTAGTTTCCATTGGTTCTATATTTGCGATAGGCAAAAAGGTACATCACAACAGTCTATACTATGTTGCAAACGTGTATTAATGCATTATAGATCGCAATTTTATCATTTATAGTCGAAATGAAGGATGGCCTTCACTGTTAATGTCGTCTTCAATACAGTACGATTAATTGTTTATTAGCTACTTAATAACCCTGTAAAAAAATAGCAATTACTCAATTAAATTTGAATTAAACTACGTATTCTTGGAACTATCTTGTACGTATACCTTAGAATTGTGATGGAACGCCAACTGAAAAAGATTGCCTTTGCAGCGGTCGCAACATTGTTGCTGCTGGCTACGCCTTATATGGCAGTGCTACCATGGTTGTTTTATCAACTGGTAATGGTGTCAATGGATTTACCTTAGATCCAGTAAGTGTAAAAGTTGTGTTACTGTACAGTACAATTGAACCGCTTGATGTGTCTCAAAATATCACAAATTTCCTGTCGCAACTGTTATACCGTAAATTTTTGCTCTTTATAATTAATTTTACAACGCGTATGTAGGCATAACCATTAACCACTTGTACCCGTAAATAGCTTGATATTATCGATGATACTATTATACCTAAGATAAATATTCTATCAAATGCGTTATGTAGTCTATCGGAGAATTCGTCTTGACTCATGCAGATATGCAATGCAAACCGAATGGCAAAAAAATCTATAGCTTGAATGAAGGCTATGCACAATATTTTGATCCTGCTGTAACAGAATTTTTGGAAAGGAAAAAGTTTCCCAAAGTATGGCCTAAAATAATTTCATCGCTAACAAATTATGCTTTTTATAATAAAGCTAAAATTCTTGAAAATTTTTGTCTTTTTTGTATCATATAACTTACAATCTACTGTAAGTTTACACTTATTCATTTACTACTTCGTTCCTTGTTTAGGATGGCTCTGCGCCTTATTCTGCTCGATACGTCGGTTCTATGGTATCGGACGTTCACAGGACGCTGATGTATGGCGGTATTTTTATGTATCCTGCTAATGTAAAGAGTCCTAAAGGCAAAGTAAGATTAATTAATTGATTCAATATATCAGGTTCAGCGCGAATGTCTTTTAGTCATTGCTGGTCAATTGCATAAATAAATAAAATTATGTTATTATTTAATTTCACCAGTTGAGATTATTGTATGAATGCATACCAATGGCGTATGTAATGGAACAAGCTGGTGGTCTGGCAACTACAGGCGAGAAAGATATCTTGGACGTTGAACCGAAATCAATCCACGATCGTTGCCCCATCTTCCTTGGCTCAAAGCGTGACGTAGAAGACGTCATAGATCTATACAGTAAACATAAGTCGGGTTAATTCTGACTACTCTTAATTATGACGAAAGCCTGTTTTCGTATTGTAGTCGTTTTATTTCATCTATTGCTTACGTTTATGTGTATTGCAATATCAATTAATAATCATATTATGGACGACATTACGATTTACTGAGTGCGGTATACTGGGATATAGCCTCAAATGAATTCAAATTATTTCATGCTCTTCATGTCTTTTGATTAAACAATTTTTAGTGGCTAAATTTAGAAGGTAGTCAATACTAGATTACTTTTAATGGGCTAATAAGTACTCTTTAAGATTATATCTAATTAGTTAAGATCATTCTGAAGTATAACTAAACCTGGATGTACTGCTTGATGTAATGGCAATAAAGAGTACTTCAGTAAAATTAGTATTACCTTAACGTTTAGTACGATTGAATTCCGCTTACTGGATATTTTGTAAGGATGTTTAGTGTTTTAAAGAACGCACCAATGAGGTAGATAAGATAGGTCACTACCTATGGTATTTTGCATCTCGTACTACAATACTGCATCTAATCGATTTTGTTATAAAAATCTTTAGTTTCGTATATTAAAAAAACGTCTAAGCTTCTTGTCGATCAGCTAATCGGCACAGTTAATATCTCAGTTGAGCAGAATATTTTAGAAAGTTAAAAGATACACACCCAAATAAAAGAAAATTTACAAAGTACTCACCAGCCTTAGCTGTTATGATAGTTACCAAATTTTTATTATTCTTATAACAAAATTAAAATAAATGACCACCTATACAAGTGTATAGGTTATCAAGGTCTTAGATAGCTATTAGCTTTCTATGAAAACATCAACAAAATTGTCTCGTCGTCACAAATATAAAAATATAATTTTAGCGATTGATATTATAGTTATTAGGCCATAATTGGTGATGATACTGCAACACATTAAGATGAATAGGTACGCACTGTAGAAATAGGTATAAGATCCATGTAATCGATAAGTAATGATCACATTTTGTCATAGCCAGTCCTTATTCAAAGGCTGTTAATAAGTTACTCGGTAAGCACCAGTACTCATCTTAGTGTCATTATACAGTTGAAAGAGCGATCAGCAAAAGAAGTAGAGAAAATTTGCCGGCAACTTGTATACAATCGGATCGAATAGAGCCTCGTACATTTCGCCAAGGGTATCTTAAACTAAATAACTACATTGCTAGTAATTACGATATATAAAAATACGACGTGCGCATAAACGAAATTATAAAAATAAATTGAAGTCATTATTTGGTATGCCCGTATAACTTGACAGGCAAGCAAAAAAACACCTAGTAAAACCAATAAATCAGTGTAATTGGATTAATTGTACAATCTTCGAACAAGTGTCATTTATAATTTGAAAACGCATTGGCTTAGATATAGTTTTATGCCTTAGGATTATAGTTATAGAAGTACTAATATTATTTAGCTGAATCATCTTCTTCTTCGGCTGTCTCTCCTTGTTTCAGTTTATCGATTATCTGTAAAGTAGATAGTTTGTAATATAACTTTAGCATAGGTCTACTGTATATTGTATTTTAGGAATACGAAAATGTCCTTTTCTAGAAATACGATCAATATCATTTAAATAAACACTTTTTGATTTAACGATAAATGACAGAAAAATTCTTACTCCTTTCAGTCTGGCAATTTCTTTGCTTTCAGCGTTCTTTTTAGCATCATTAGTGATAAGTTTGACACGAGAAGCATAGCTATAAAAAGTTTAATGGAATAGAGAGAATAAATGGGTCATCAGGATTTTCATTTAATTGACATTTAAAATTCCTAATTTAAATTTCTCAATTACATATTTTATAATGGCGCTTACGTTAATGATACAAGAGTTTCATCAGTATTGTAATCAGCTGGTGAGATGTTTACAAACATAAGAGTTTTTGCATTACCACCTAAATAAGAATCATTTAATGTTAGAAAATGTAACAGAGAACTTAAAATTTCTCAAGCAAAGATAAATTTATTATTATGGGATGTTATTAGAACAGTTTTCCTGAAGTTTGGATAAATTAACTTGTTTAACTTCTACTGTATTGCTTTAAAATTAGACGGTATTTCAGTATGACAATTTTTAACTAATCTGAGTCTATGATGATACAACGTACCTAGTGAATCCTGCATTAACATGGTTAACTTGTTATTACGATATGGAATGAAAGATTGTTCACTGGATAATGCAGCAATAACGTCTCCCAATGCGCTTAAACTTTTATTAATTGATTGTGCTTCCTAAATATACAGCAATGTTTCATTATAAATTAAAATAATTCCATAATATTCCAGCGAGACCATTTTTAATTTCTTTTAAATGAGACAAGTAAAGTTTAGCTTTCAATAATGCGAATTTTCATATAATTCCATACTTTTAACTGTGCTGCTGATGCTCCTGTTTTAGCGGCTCTTTCAGATCCAGCCAAATCGACCAGACTTAGCTAAGTAGCAAAAAGCAATGTGATTAATAGGTATGATGAAATTTTACAATTTTTGCATGATTGCCAATATCGTTTTTGATTGAAATTGTGCCACGTTGCAATCGTTGATCAGATTTAGTTAAATTTTTATATTAATTGATAACATGCAATCAAGCTGATTCTCATTGGAATTTCTAATTAGTTATTCAAAATCGTGTTAAGAATTATATCAAATAATCATAATTTTAGGAAAAATCTCTTACCTTGCCGTTAATCTTATTACCAGTGGCTAAATTTGTACTTTCAATAATAATACCAATAACTAAATGAGACCTGGAGCTTTCAGAATTCATTTCTATTTATTAAAGGAATTGAGACAATTTTTTACTAGATTACAATTGACAAGATTCTATCTAAAACTATCATTACTTTATGGGAAAAGTAACGAATTTAAAAGTTGCAGAGTTATACAAGTATTTATCTATTTCGGCCCATTATCAGAAAATAGTAGCTAATTTACTCACTTGTCGAAGCAGTATGCCTATTTTTAGATCCTTCTTCGAATATAGTCATCAATTCGGAACTCGTTTCTGCGTATTTTATATTTGAATTGGTAATTCTAACCATGCCCTATATCAACAAGATTATTCAATAAAAAATCCTTCTTAGCTACCTTATATTTTTCGTTATGTCATGATACATTAAATAAATGATTAAGAGAAACTTACATTCTTATCTTTCTTAATATCCATCTTTGCTGGTTGATGTAAAGTCAAGGAAAAAAAAATTCCTCATGTTGACGACTCCATTCACAAGTCGAAAAAAACAACATAGTTTATTATAAACTTTCGCTAATAATTGTATATTATTTATTATAAAAAGGATATCTCAGAATTGACTGCCGCCAGCAGGTCCAATAAGCGATCGTTGTATAACTCCAACATGTAACAGGATATTTTGAATGTATATTTTTTCCTGTAACAATCCCATTAATCAGATTTGTTATTAAAAGTTGAATGTTATAGAATAAAAGATATCAATAACTTTTGCATTATTTACTCATTCTCTTTGACCAAGTTGAAGATTCTATCAAATGCTCTTGGAGCAATACCAGGATATTTCATGTCGCCATCACCAATCATGGTATAAGTAAATATAGTTAAGGTAAATTTAGTCTCTCAGCTGGTATAATTAAAGTACGATCATGAAGGTTATTATTTTTGACGTGAAGAAGTATCTCACACGAATAATTATTTATCTCTCATGGTAGTGCAAGCTGATTTTAAGCTATATTCTCTAATAGAGCACACCGTAAGGTTATATTAAAAGCAATAAGGAGTAGATAAATTATGTTCGTTCTAATCATGATGAAAAAGGATATGTTTTTCCAGAGCCAGTTTGACCATAGGCAAAAATACATACGTTGTAGCCGTCAACAGCCGATTGGACTAAATTCTACAGGTTAACATGAGGTTTTAAATGAATTACTTAATTTCAGTATAACAGAAAGGTATTTTATTTCCAGAATTAAATAGCATAGTGTAAGTGAGATAGTATTAATAGATGATAATACAGTTAAAGGAAAAAGGATTTCCTATCGAGAACGTTTGCTTACATAAGTATCTTCAAAAACTCTCTCTTGTGATGAATCTGGCATGAAAATCTGATCAAATTGAAATTCTTTCTTTCCTTTATGGCTTGAGACATTAATCGAGTATTCATCGGGTGATTCAATAACGGAATAATTATTCTGATTTAGAGTGGGTAAGGAAACAAAAAATTATCAATTAATAATAAGCTTGAAATATAGGCCAAGATTTCAATCATTAATCGTTTGAGATGTGATATGGAAGAGGGTAATATAATCACAATATCGATAAATGTATACAGTATAATATATTAATTAAGCAGAACCAAAATAAGCATAGATTAATTTAACTTACCCTCTCCTTTTCACTAGAACTAAGTGGACGAGCACGACAATAAACGCGGATTTTTCCTTTCATATCTTCAATAATATTGTAGTACTTCTTTCTTAATAACTAAATTGGGATATAAACATATATGAATTAATGAATTATCAAATTTTACAGCATTTACACGCAATAAATGTATTATAATACTGCCAATTTTTACTAATAGCTAAAGAAATAGTTCCATCATGGCAGACTTACCCTTTCAGTATTAAAGTTCTCGCTTAAGGTCTTGTTGTCAGTTTCTAAATTGCTGACTTTTTTTTTAAGTTGATCTCTTTCTTCCATAGCTTGCAATCCTTCCTGTAATTTAAAATGTCCATTAATTGGGTTTACAATCGATATAAAAAGAATTTATTTAATTAAGGACATGGAATCAATCAACTAAACCCACTAAAATGCTCTTATATTTATACTGATAGTTATACCTGAGCAGCTACGCCTAATTTGGCAATCTCCGCCTCGTTTGCTTTATTTTGAGTGTCTAAACTGTTATAGTCCTATAAGATAAAGTATCAAAAAATATATGTTCTATTATGACGCATACTTTTAATAGAGCTTTGCATTTCCAATCTAGTAATAAATTGTAAGCAGTTCGCATTTATTCGTGTTTACGGTACTATACCTTTTTCAATTGAGCAAGTTCTTCTTCCGTTTTAGCTAATGTACTTTGCGTTTTTTCCAATTTATTATTGGTTGAATCTAGTTGCTTTTGGATATCTGTAGTATGTAATTATAACAGTTACTTAAATATTATATTACTAAAGTTTCTGTCAATCACGTTATATCTCTCGCATTTTTATTACAGTAGTGTAAGAAAAAAAACTTCCAATAAACTAACCCTTGATTTGTTTCTCAGCTTTCTTTAATGCTGCTTTCTAAAATATGGAAAGTTAAAAATAATTGGTTGAATAATAATTGTAGATGAAGTAAAATTGTTATGAGCTGTCTATAATCCGCGGGTATTTACCAAAGGTAACTCAAAATTGCAAGGAGAAATAAAATTTATCATGGGCTAATAATATCTCTAAATATTGTTTTGAACTCACATCTTCTGCTAATTTTAATTTCTCTTTCATTTCTTGTTCATATTTCTTATACTTCAGTTGTTCTTCGGTAACATTCTTCTTTAAGTTAGCAACTTGTTCTTGAAGATTTTTCATTTTTTCTTGCATTTTAGGATCCACTTTTGGACCATCATTTTTCTTGGTTTTAATATCAACTTCTAGAGATTTTATCTTTTAGAACAAAAAGTAATAATCAGATTAAGTTGATTCCAATACTATAGCAGGTCTCATCTATTGAGGGACTTTAATATCTAGTGTTTCTATTAATATTCATATCATTTAAAATGCTTAGAATAAGAAGCAATAATCGAATTAAGTTGATTCTAATACTATAGTAGGTCTCGTCTATTGAAGAACGCTAATGTCTAGTATTCTTATTAACTTTCATACCATTAAAATGCTTAAGAAATAAATGATACTAGCGCAGTTAATTATCAGTATTGCTTAGAGAAAAAATTATAATAACTGTAAATAAATGTTTTCTAATATTTTTAATTAACGGGTACCAGTCTAATAAATTAATAGCAAGATTACTTTCTTAAGTATTATGGAAGAATTGCTCGTACCTTTCCTTCTAGAGCTGCAACCTTATTCTTTTCTTGTAGCGCTCTTTCGTTTTCTTTCTCTTGATTCTTTTTCATTATTTCTTTAACTTGTTTATCCTTATCAGCACGCATCTTATCATTTTTTGCCTTCGAAAATTAACACATGATTAGTTCATAGGCAATACTACGCTGAAATAGCCTTTTCCATGATGCTAAAAAAGTGGAATTATACTATAGCAGTTAAGATAATATACTGCGGTAAGTTTGCATGATGCAATACTAAAGGAATTGATCTAGTAACCAATCCCCTAATATTACCATGTCGAATCATAAAAAATTACATCAATTTTTCTAATCTTAGGATCCATACAGCAAATGTAATTGAATTGCAAAGAGAAATTCTTACCTTTAGATCTGTAGCAGTCGATTTTTCTTTCGCTAGCGATTTCTTAATTGAGTCCACCTCCGTTTGCAGTTCCTTAACTGCATTTTGCGCTTTTGCAGCTTTTTCATTCGAGCTTTGTTTTTCTTTTTCTAAGGTTTTCTATAAAAAAGTTTAGAATTAAACATTAATTGTATGATAATCCATGAAAAGGTTGAAATATGGATGATCGATAAAGAATTTATAGAGAATTATAATTGAGAATGAGTTAATACAACTAGCGATGAGTGGATATTTTACATTTCTATCTATCCGACATACAATTTTAGCCATATATTGTTTCATTTCTTTAGCTGTATCGATAGGAACTGCCTTAAGTTGAGCATTTTGTAAACTCTCAATTGTGGCCGTTGCTTCATCCAATGCCTAAGTTAATATTTAAGAGAATATTAATTATTAATATTGCAGAAATACTGGTGTAGCTAGCATGTACAATATTTGGTTTTCACGCATAAAATATCTACTATGCGTATTTGGTATAATATCTCTACAATGTTGTAACTTTCAGTTAAAGGACGGCAGATGGATTATTGAAATAACAACTTATTCAAATAACGTTTTCCTATAGGATCTAAGCTCTTAGATAGCACTGTGACGTAGAAGAAATTTTACCTTCTGCTTAGTATCGATTTCAGCTTGTAAATTATTTTTAACAGATTCAATCTTTCTAGCTGTTTCTTGATTATCATCCGATGAATTCTCCTTCAAAGCTTGCAGCTCCTGTCGACGATATATTAATTAGTTCGGATATTTGCTAATTTTTATTTAATTCTAAGTTGTAATTCAATTTTTCTTTGCTTTACTAGCTAGGCTACAAAAAAGTGTAATTCTACCTCCTTTAAAGCCTCTAGTTCTTCTAGATGAGAGGCGTGATTTACACGTTCTAATTCCAATTCCGATTCCAATGTTTGAACCTGACCTTGTAGAGCAGCTAGTTGTTGTTCTACCTCCTAAAGTAGATAACGAATGATATGATTTTATCGATTGCCTTTATTTACTATCATCAATTGCTTCATTATTTTTACCTCCAGATTCTCTGTATTGACTTCAATGGGTGCAACGACTGGAACTGGAGCTGGAGCTGGAGCTGGAGCACTGGTAACGGCAACAGCTGTAACAGCTGTAGCAGTTGCTGCTGCAGCAGCATCGGATAATTTACTATTTAATTCTTCGATTTGCTGCTTTAATTCAGCTATTTTGCTTTCTAGCTCTTGGTTTGAATCTTGTAATTTATCCACAGAATCGGTTAGTTGTGATTTCTTCTCTAAGAGTGCATCTCTTTCTTCGGTAATATCCTTTAGTTGATCTTGTAGATCAGCAATTTGAGCCTCAAATACAGCTAAAGTTTATAAAATTCAAACAGATTTATAGCATCTAGAATAGGCTTATCATTAATGTATGTTCGGTTGTATATCTCAAGCAAAATCAAATCGTAGACTGGCTATATAATTCGATCCTAGTTTAAAAGTTATTTTACCTGTTGAAGCTGATGCTGTTTCTTGAACTACCAGATCATCAGGCACAACTCCATCACGTAACATGGTTAGTGCAGCAACTGTTCCTTCAGCTTGATGCAATAGTTTTTCTTTATCTTCTAACTGTGCTTGGAGCGCCTTAAGTTGATCTTCCCTATATACAATATGGTGATTAGCAATGTCAATAATTTGTAGCTGTAAAATGTCCCCAAAATGTGGGCTCATAATAAGTTAAAATCGGATTGTATCT